CAGTTACTTAACACTAATCCACTTATTCAGCAAATTTAAGATATGTTAATCTATTATAAATGTGTCACTTTGTAAGATGGAATGTAATTTTACAAACTATTTTTACAACACTCCACAATGCAAGATGGAAAATTCCTAGAATGCCATTATAAATAATTATAAATATATAGTATTATAAAAAATAATACAAAATACCCAAAATATGAAAACTATTCAAGAAACACCACATACAACATTTTGTAACTACTTCTCTAAGTGGTCTCTCGAAAAGCACTTCCAGACACACGATCTAGGTCCTGCAGGACTCGTAAAACGTCCCGCATTTAAAAGGCCAACAACACACTGAAAACTACCCCGTTCCGTTAATCGTTACGATCCCTTTACAATCGCATGTTAGTAAACCTCGGTTTTTGTCTTGTTGGTCGCATCCTAACGACTGTAAACTCCACATCCCCCACCGTTAAACTCCCCGTCCTCCTTCCTTAAGGTCCTTGCACGAGAAACCGCCCCGGCAAAAACGGAACGGGTCAAAGTATACATTAAATTTGCTGGGGGTGAGTTTTTGCCGGGTTAGACAGCATCTTTAGAGGATGTTTAGACACAACACGGAATAGCTTGTCTCGCCCTCGGGTTCCGAGGATGAATTCGAGATTTGCGCGTTGTACTACATCTGCTGACAGCCCGGAACGCGTGTATACCGGGGGGTTGAGAGATGTAGCGGCGTCAGGATTAGGCGGCGTCGGTAGAAGGAACAGTTCGAACCTCAGGGCATCTACTCCCCAGTACATGAGTCTATAAATGACGTACATCACATTCCTAAACAGTTTAGTTGTTAATTTGACATTATCAGAACTGGGAATAGATCGAATTCATTGAAAATGTACCTAAAAAACACATTTGGGGAGAAAATAATGAAAAATTGGTTAATTCTGAGTAAAAATGACTAAATCGCGTTATATTTTTGTTTCAAAAGTAGCAAACTAATCCAGAAAGTGACATGTGTTTTTTAACGAAATTAAGAATTAATAAAAGGTCACATTAGAAATAAATTCAAAGATAAAGTTCGGGAAAATGCGGCTCTTAACAGAACCGGACTCCGTTTACTCATGTCAGTATGGCCAAATAAAATATATTTCAGCACGATTAATACTAAATAGCAACGCTAAATCTAAAAATTAAGAAGATACGTAAAAATTTAGAGTTTTGATAGCGTTTCAATGTCATATTGATTTTGTTGAAAATACTACGTGCCTTTTTCAACTCAACTTAAACATTTGCTTTTAAATATACCTTACAAACGCGTTGCAAAACAATGTATAGTCTTTCCGATGTCAATTGAAGAACCAAGAGAATGACGGTATGTACCAAACGAAATGCAAATACACTTGCATTGGTCCACTGGGCAATAAAACTCAGCCGCTGACAAGTGGTCGACAAATTGCCCAGCAGTGCAGTGCAGCAATGCGGAATTTGGTGTAATTCATTTAATTTTAATTTATTATAAGCACCTATTAATCGTTGATATTACAAATGCGAAAGGGATAAATAATATTATTACAACATTGCCTTTTGGAGACCTTTTGAAACGGAACAAAACCAAATTTACCATCAATATAATAAAATTGTTTGAGGACGTAAATAATTAAAGTATGTTGTTGACCAAATTAACATATAATAGAAATTTTCTGCACATTATATATGCATTATAATTTTTCACCTTTATCAGAAAACTTTTTTAGGTACGCCTATGAAACTCATTAAATTTTATTGCCAGGCAGTTTTTTACATGTTCAACTGACTTCGCCACAATTTTATAAATAAATACATTTTTCAAATATATTGAGTTTATAAAATAAATATTCGGGTATTATTTTTTTTATTTATTGGGCATGAGAATGTCAATCATTTGTTCGAAATTTAGACAAGCGAAACTAGAAGAAACATTTTTTTTTTAACAATCAATGAAAGTGCTCTCTTTTGTGCAAAATTTTATAGCCACTACTGCATAATTTTTTAAATTTAAAAACTGGTAATGATTAGGCTTAGTGCGCGCGCAGAGTCTAACAGAGCCGGCCCGGGGGTCGGTGGCCTTCACAGCTGACTCGCGCTTTGAACTGTTCAGTCATTTACGGAACCTTGTAATAGTTGGCGTAGCGTCGATACCTTTCTATTTTACGTCTGCTGTAAATTGTATTCGCCATGTGTATTGAAATAACTATTTATAAATAGTAACATAATTTACATTAACAACTATTAATTGGTGGGGAAAAGTATGTTGCGTCATATTTTCTGTAAACATATTAATATTTTCATTCGTAAACTGAATACGGTCCTGTTAAACTCCACGCCGCACCATGTAAGCCTAGTAATGATAGAAAAATGGTAGCTAATGGAAGTATCAGAGACTTTTTGGTCAAAATTTAGTATGCACCCTGCAACAATTTGAAAAAAGTTGTCGAGTTCGACTCCAGTCCGACAAAAACAACTTTTTCCGCGTGCCGTTCGCCTTCCCCTAAAAACATCCCCGAACGGCCGTGTCCGTGTCGACAAACTCAATTTCCACGACACGTTTTTCCCATTTAAATAATTCGCATATGGCATCCTACAAGTTTGATGTAAAAAGTTCGTCATAAAATTACAATGGCGACCTAGTTCCGCTCTCTACTCGAAGGGGGAGGCGGAAGGAGTACGCGGAAGCGCCTGCAGGTGCATGCCCAGTTGATGCATTGTGGAATCCCATCAACGTAAGTTATTGACACTGCGGGGTGCAGGTGTCTGAGATATCGCCTTCCAGTCCTTGACAAAAGGGACGCTATATGTGGGACGTAAAAATAAAATTGTAAAAATACAGCAAAATTACAAAAATCGAAATGGGTTGCTTGTTGCCACCGACATAACCTGTAGACTTACAACCGAAATATGAATTCACGGTTATTGTTAAATATTTGCGGAAAATATTGTGTAAAAATAAATTCCAGCATAATAAAATTCTCAGCTACTAAAGAAAATGATTTTATTGTAAATCTACAAAGTACTTAATGTTATAATACTCATATAATTAATAAATCTTACGGCTGCATTGTGACTTTATGAAATTGCACATTTAAATTAGAGTAAAATTTCCTGAAATTATATAAAATTAAAAAGTTGCGTCTACAACAAAATGAACTGCTTTTTGCTAACAAAACAAGACTTGTGAAGTCTCAAAATGTAATTTGTATCGTGAAGTGTAAAATTACATTCCCTCTTACGAACTTACGCATGTAAAGTAGAATGAGATCTCTTAAATTTTCCAAACGCTCAAAATGATAAAATCACACAGCTTTGCAGCAATATAAGTACGTGCGTATCATTGGTGCTTTAATTTTGTTGCTGTTGCGTATGATTTTATTTATTACTATTATTATTATAGCGGTTTGGCTTTGAGAAATTATTATAGACCGCCCCCTTCTTCGTGTCGACATGCCGTAGGTGTGAACGGAAGCGTCGCCTGCCGGACCGGACAGCGTTCATGAATTTCAGATCACCTGAAATCGAATTAAATTAAAATTAGAGGACACGTGGGCGTCCGATTAAGCTTTCAGGGATTTCAGCGATCAGAGCGCGCGGCTTCAGCGCCGGCTGGCGTCGCTGCCTCACCTGCTACACTCAGAGACGTCCCAAAAGTTTCATATATATTCGGGTTTGACAGTAGAGTTGTTCGATATTTTTTTCATGTACGGAACTCGGTGGATTGTGATGGGATCGGCCTCGACGAGCTTTGTATATTATATTTTGCGAAACGGGTTGTAGCATCTGGCCATACGAACACACGCAAAAAAATTTGTTGTTTCAAATGTACAACTTTTGATTTTAAGATATAAGTACGCAAGAAAATATTTTCTTCTTTTAAGAAAATTATATTAAATTCAATTTATGGTAATATGCGTTGCAGTGCAAGCCATTTACTAGTTATGTTTTCATAGAGTGAGAAGAGAATGTTTATTGTTTACTAAAAAAATTTAATTGAATTTGAAATATTTCTCCAGAAATGAAGTAGGAAGGGAATTTCACTATAAGATATTGAAATTGTGACAAATCTATATAATACACTGAAAATATATAAGGTACATGTTACATACCACTCAGGAGATATTGCAAGATAGAATCGTAACCCGTCTACAACAGAATTTATGAAAAATATATAAGGGCGAGCAGGTGCACAGCTCTCCTATCGATTTAATATTTATTGTGGATGGATTTTTCCTCGAGAAGGTACAAATCCTTTCTATTTTTATGTTAGAGCCTCGAAATTGTTGGATTTTTACTTCCAATTATTTGTCTTTGAAGCAGATCTTTCGCCGCATTTAAACTGAATCTAAGCTTAAGCGTAAGCAGCGAAGAAAAATATATTCTACGAACATTTTAAAATTAAAAGCTCTTCCTATGTCTGTAGTCCTATAAGTTTGAAACTACGTTTGCAACAGTGTTTTGGAACGTTCCGTATAATTTTCCAAAAGAAAATTATAAAAATAAATTCTCCAGACAGACAGACAACGAGATAATTATACATTTCGACGATGTTTATTAATAACATCATCAGGAATTACTGTTACAAGCCAAGCTGCAAATTCTACAACTAAAAGGAAGGTAAATGTTTATGAACGTTGTCGGTGAATTGGAAGGGTTACGGCTCCTTAAAGGTGAGCCCTAGAAATTGCTTTTCCAGATATCTGCACACAAAAAATACAGATAATATCATTCCAGATCATCAACGTTACTAATACTGTCTTGTTCTATATTTATTACTGCAGTGTTTTGAGTAGCAGAATAATAGTTGACCATGTATTAATTTGACGCGGACTCACATATGTCTGGGTTGTGAAAACATGTGAATTGCGGGTAATTGTAACCCTTTAACAGTTGATGTATATTCTATCCCGAAGAGCTCCAGAGATATCTGGAAAAAAATGTTCGAGGGCTCACCATTAGTGAGCCATAAATACAAAATGCGAACTTACCGTCAGCGTCAAACAAAAGGTGCACATGAATGTGGGGGCGGTGGTTCTTCAGCAGTGGTCTGAGCTGGGGGCAGGCTAGCTCGCGCATGGCCCCTTACCTCGGGGCGGCTCACCAGCTGAGCACATGTGTGTGCCCTCTGCCCCACTCTAGCCCACGCCTCTGACCAACGTTCACCACCTGCAACAAAAAAAAAATCTTCAAAATTCATACCAAGCGAAATTATTGCTGTTGAAAATAATTATATCATTCCCATTGTAAAAAGTGCAGACGCTTTTTCTTATGCAACGCTGAACTGCCGCTCGACGGTAAACCTGACCTATAAATTTCATCCCTGCTGTAACACTTCGAGAAATGACGCAGAGAGAAAAATAAACTGAAAGAAGAAGCCTCCTTTTAACGCAGGGTCTTAAATTGTCAACTGGGGGAGTGCAATGAATGCCAGACATTAGGAAATGGCGTCTTTCCTTTGATCCGTTGCAAGAGAATAAATTGAATTTTCTCTTTCCTCGGGGAGAGAGGTTACCTTAACTTAAATTGCTAAGTTCGAAGCCCCGGGTGGGTTGGGATTGATGCGGACAATTTTTTAGTTCATTAGATCTTGTCGTAGAAAGGCTAGTAGTATAAAAATACTTTTTTTTTATTATATCGTGCGTAAGTACTAGTTTTATCCATACTGTCAGTGCATTACAGTTTCGATGTCATGCTGAGTGAGGTATCTTAGTTATTATTAAACAGAGTTTCGAGAAAATTTTCCTTTTTTTTTTAGTTTTATAGATGTGATAACAAAAGTTATGCGCAATGAACCCGGCTATCCATATTTGCACTATTTAATATACCTCAATAGGAAACATTTCTGAGAAAAATTCAACCCTCTATATTTTGGTATGTAGATTTCTCTTGGTCGATTTATTTATCCAATTTCTTTCCCCAAAGCTTTAGGGCCTATACTTTCTTTAATATCGTATCTCGCCAACATTAGTGGGACACCCTGTATATATATTTATATATCTTCATTTCATAAGATTTTTTAGAAACAAATTTTGAATTTGTTTGAATTACTTTTACAGTAAAGTAAAAAATGTTACAACTATCCTCGACTTACATTTTTTTTTAAATTTAAATTCAATGTTAATCCTTTTTAGAGCAACAATCAGGATGCACAGATCTCATTGCGTGTAATTGCACGCCCTGTATATGAAACTAAAATCATCGCGAGGCACAGATTACGTTCTCTTTCAACCCACTAATCCGGCGTCGTTTTTAATTAACGCGATATTTTCGTCGTTCTATTAAAATCCCCCGTAATGGGCCGAAGGGGGGTAAATTAATTTTAAACCTCAAGAAGGATTACCCGAACTCCCTCAAGATTATATACGCGTAGGATGATGGAAAATATGAGGCGCCCAACTTATATTATAGAGCAGGTTGCCAAGGATAGTTGACCGTCTGCTTTTTGGGCTGTCGCCATTAATCATAAGAGAGTCTTCCCAGCGTTTCATAAATCAAACGGGGAAAGTCTCTCCCGACAGACAACAGCGGGATCGGGATTAGTGTCGAAGAATGATTCGTCTCTTCATTAGCTTATATTTTTGTAGTTATAACAACAGTGGCACCAGATACTTGTTTCTGTAATAAATTTGGCCGCCCTTGCATCTGCTAAGATAGCCGAGATATCCATGCTATCACATTTGGCAGTCGGTTTGTGGAAACCAACGTAAGAGCGAATCTCAATTCGGGAACAAGTAAAAAACAATTGAAACAGACATATATGATATAAAAATAAAATAAAAAACAAAACTGAAATACAAATATACAAATAAAAAAATTGTGAAATAAACGTAAGAAATTTTTTCTCTATCTCTATCAAAAAAGTTGATGACATCATTTTTTTTATTTTCCGTATTTTGAAAAAAATGTTTTCAAGTGCAAAGCGAACCTTAGCGAGTTTAAGTGGCGTGAATAGTCACGCCATCTAAACAGATTTTTACTGTCGTTTTTCGTTTGTCTGTTGTGGGCCCGAAACGCGAACTTTGGGACACCCTGTATACAAAAAATTGCCTCACCTTCCAAATTGTTACGAAAATTAATTGTTTGCCGAGAAATTGCCTGGAAAACGGTCAGAAGTACAAAGTTCATTTTAGTGCAACAAAATAGCATCAAAAAGTAATAAAACCTCTAATACTTTTTTTTTGCAGTTTTACCTTGGTACTAACTTTGTAAAGGAAAAAATCTTATTTGTTTGTATTTCCCCCTTTAAGGCAAATTTAAACATAAAATATAATAATCTAAACATAATTAACCTTCGAAATAGTCCTTCCACGAATGAGAATCACACCCACAACTGCTCTGAAGGGATTATTAGTTACGTTTACAGTTGGGACAGGTTGTACATTCCCGGGAATGTACAGGCAAATTTACCAAATAAATTAGACCGGCCAAAGATAAAGTTTGCTGCATTTGCTTTACTGGACTGGGAACTATTTTATGAGCTTCGTCCTTGTGACCACCAAAAACCATTACATGGCACGATACGGACCGGCCTAGAGAGCAGGCACATTGTGAAGCAGGATTTAGGAGCGTTACTTAGATGGAATTGTGATGTTTTTCCTCTTTCCCTTAAAGCCTCTAATTTGTTTTTACGGTTTGGGTTATTGTTGCGCGATTTTGTGATTGCTGGAAATACAAAGTTGTAATGAAATGTGCAGTAAAAATTACAAGTTCATGTAATTTTACATTATGTTTTTATGTAATTTCACATTATGTTAGAGACTTGATGTATGATTATTTAACTATAGTCCCCCTTAAAATGAAAATTTATACGATTTATAATTTTACACTGATATGACTTAAACAGAAATTCCATAACTATTGGAAGTAATTTTACAGACAATTTGTAATTTCACAACACGGCTCCATGGAAAAAGATATCTATTTTAATTAAATATTGCAAATTTACAGTATTTATTTTAGCGGTATTCATCGGAAAATTTCTGGGTAAATATGTACCAGTGTAATCTCGTTGTAATTTTACACTGAAATTGCTACTCGTCAATATGCTTCACAACGATATTGCTGGTAAAATAACAAGTTGCCCGTTGTACTTGAGCAATGTAATTTTACTAGACCCATTCTTGCGGTATATATCGTTCAATTTGTACATAAAAGTTAAATTGAAATTTTACAATGGATTACATGTATGTTTAATGTAATTTTCTTGTAATTTTACACTAAGCCAGTTATAGGTCTTAAATCATTTGTTGCATCACCACAATCAATCTTAAGCGTGGAATGATATTCATTTTAGATTATTATTTTTATTTTTTAATTTAGATTATTTTTACAGTATCCCATTTTATTTGGATATCGCGACTTTATTTTATTAATTTTTGCAGTATGTATTGGATAATCTGTGGATATAATTGTAGTCATACAAATATATCCTAAAATTGATAATTTACATTGCATTACATTTATCCGTAAGATTAATGTAATTTTGTTGTAATTTTACACTTTTCTATTAAATTGTTTCGTCATCCAAAAGCTACCTTAAATCTGGTATTCTATAATTATTTTATAGAATATTTTTACAGACAATTTATAATAATATAATTGTAATTTCACAACGTACATTGCTGGCAAGAAATAATAATTTTAGTGTATTTTTTGTGGTATACATCGAACACTATAACGATGCCGTCCTCCGCTAATACTCCTCTTCCTACGCCATCAATTTTTCTGTTGCAAATTCTAAAATGTAACTGCAAAACAACTGTTCGGAGTGGGAGTTTCCCACAAAGACGACACGGGGCTTCAGGGGAGATTTTGCTTAAACACAGGCCACGGAAAGCCAGACAATTTGCCCCTGCATTGTACCACCATAAGCTGCTTACAGTTTCGCGGCCGGCGGAAAGAGCAAAACGTTAAAACTCGCTATTTGAAAATAAATTATTTAATCCTGCCGGGTATTGTTCTCGTGCCGGGTCGACCATTAACGTATCTAATTTAAGGATTTGTTGAAGTTGTAGCGATTTATGAGAGGTCTTTACGGTCTTGGAGGCCTGCCAGTTTTTACATTGACAGCGACATCTGTAGACGAACGTGCGTAGCCAGACCACAACAATACACAGACCGTTTATGAATTCGAAAGGTGCGTAAAACGAAGTGAGCTCGGAGCTTTGGAAGAATTTTATTTCATGTTTCATCACATCACAAGTTATGTCATGTTTTATTAAAACTTCCCGCTTTACTCCGTCTGAAACTACTACATGTCCATTCCGCTTTAAAAGTTTAAGACCTATAAGTCAATTACTGAAATTGCCGCGCTTTACGGCGTCGCGACGTGAAATATATTACACGTAAAACTCCCCGAGACAGAGATCGAGTTATTAATAAAATCGACCTAGTTTGAATAACGGCCTGTAAAGCGGATCGGAATTGCCCAGGGGGGTTTTATTACAGAAATTCGAGTCATTCGATCTATTAAACACACGTAAGTGTCGATAAAATTTATTAAAAGAAGGATCAACTTATGGCGAACTTCCTCCGGGGTATTCCGAGAGCACATGAATTATTACAAAGTAGTACGTTCGACGTATAAAGCTTGGGTTTGTTCTTTTAAGTGAGATTTTCACAAACAAAGTAAAATGTAACGTTTCGAAGTTGTAGAACTGCTGTGTTCAGAATAGCTAAATTATAATATAATTCAATTTTTAAAGTAACGAACTATAGTGGTTTGGTCTTCAAGTGGGGAGTAGCATGGAAAACTTTATTTTACTAATTTCGCTGATAACACGACACACAACCGAGCACGAACTGGTCTTCAAGACTTCTGATTAGTGGCTCGAAAAGTTTTCGGTTTTTATCCTTGTCCCCAGGTACCTACTTTTATTACCCTATCCTAATTAACACTTATCCGGGTCATTACCTACTCGGTTTGTGCTTATGTACCCTAATAAACAACAACTAATTTATGTTTACAGCCTACTTATTCTAATCTCATTTGCTAAATACATTTATTTAGGATAATCTCGGATAAATCAAAGTATAATTTATATGGCTCGTAAATTCCCAGAAAGCAAAATATATTTATTGGGACATGTACTAAATGTAATTGTAGCGTACCGCTACAGAACATTATTTTATTATTTTTAATTAAACAGCGAGGACAAGTATGGCGC